GCCTTGTCTTACTTTCAATGTAAGTCCTTTTACATGTTGCATGGATTTTTTGCCCCTTAAACATGTAAAACAAAAATATAGAAACATCAAATAACACTCGAAACAATGATAAAGAACGGAATGATAAATACAGGAAAAATAACTTACAGTCTCATCAGCGAAAACGAACTCCATGGTCTCCACGGATTGAATGTTTTGTGTCCAAGCATGTAAAACCTTTACATGAACCAACCATGTGTTTTTCCATGGTTTCAAGTCGTGTAAAATGACCACTTTATCATTAGAACCTCTTGATGCTTGGATTTGCATTTTAGTAGCCATTGTTTTGTTTACTGGTTTGTTCGAAGGTGTTGGTTGGAACATGAATAGGGTGTTGTCTATTTATAATATAAAGCAGATTTAAGCGATGTGGTTAGGTTTTAGTAGAAACTTGGGGAGAAAGTTTGGGGATATTTTCTTTAGTATCGAATATTGATTAGGATTAGTATTTGGGAAATCCATAAATAAACTTGAACAGAATAGATTATTTTGTGTATAGAATATATTTTAGGATTAGTATTTGGCAAATTTGGAAAATATAATTAATTAGTTAGCAAATCTTTTGGTTTCTGTTTCTATACTTTTATTTCTACACATATATATTTTCATAATTTATTTTTGGTAACAATTAAAAAGAATATTCAATTACAGAGAATATTCAATGATATGTTAAGAATAAATATCCCGACAATTTATGAGGTTGAAAACCGATTTTGGTAATTGATATTGTTTGGTTCATGTGTAAATGTAATATGTTTTGAATAAATATCCCAAAAATATATTTTAGGATTAGTATTTGGCAAATTTGGAAAATATAATTAATTAGTTAGCAAATCTTTTGGTTTCTGTTTCTATACTTTTATTTCTACACATATATATTTTCATAATTTATTGTCGGTAACAATTAAAAAGAATATTCAATTACAGAGAATATTCAATGATATGTTAAGAATAAATATCCCGACAATTTATGAGGTTGAAAACCGATTTTGGTAATTGATATTGTTTGGTTCATGTGTAAATGTAATATGTTTTGAAACCATATCCCAAAAATATATGATTTTGAAAATAGATATAGTTTTTTGATATTGTTTGGTTCATGTGTAAAGGTGTTATTCTTATGTATTTGGCAGGATCATGTAATGATGCTAGGAAGGATGATGTACAAAGAAAATATGAAACGAAATAGGATTTAGGGTTTGATTAAAGTTTAGGGTATATGGTTACTAAATAGAATTGTAAATATCAATAGGGTTACTAAATAGGGTTTGAAGCCCATTTTGTTTTAAAAACAGAATTGTAAATATGAATTAAGTATAGATGTTTGAAGCCCATTTCGTTTGGGTTTTGCTGTTTGAAGTTATTTGTTATTTACAGCCCACGATTTCGAATAAAAAGGTAGTGAAATGGAATGTTTTGTAATTTCCTAGAAAGTTCAGGGGCAGAAACCAAAACAGTCATCTGCTTTAATAGTATAGATTTAGCAAACTATGTGATTTTCCCGTGCTCATGCACGAGTATAAATATTCATAAAAGTAAAATTTTATAATAATTGATTGATATTTAGTTTTAGTTTTGTATCAATTTATATGTATAATTTATATTAATAAATATTATATTATTCTAATTATACATATGACTTTGGATATATTATTGTCGGTTTAATTATTTTTTGGATCAATAGTCAGTTTGGTTATCAATTTGGTATTTTGGATAATATTTATTTTCGAATTCAGCTATAATATTTTTTTATTGTAAATATAATAAAACTTTGATTAATTTTCTTATTTTTATTTCGGTTGGTTATTGTTTTAGATATGTAAATATATTATAGTTAAATTATATATATATATATATTGTGCTTAAACTAAAATAAATAATAAGCTGAAGTGTTTGATTCAAAATTACATAAATGAATATAATGATAATATTTTGAAGTCTCGTGCATATATATAAATTCTACAAAAGAATAAATTGTAATTGGTTAATATTTTCTTTTTCTTTTTAATATCCTTTGAGTCAACCTCTAATTTATATGTATAAAATTAAATAGATTATTATTACTATAAAATTATATGTTCTTATTGTAGTTAGATGTTTAATTTTGGATATAAATTAGATTAGTCGAGTCATTCATGTTGTGAGTATATTGAGTTAAAATTGAAGTATAACTATTTTTTATTTTAGTTAAGTCCAATCAAATTAGTTATATTTATTGCTTAAATATACATGTATTTTCATAATATTTATTTATTCCTTATTTTAGTTAAGTCAAATCAAATTAGTTTTATTTATCGCTTAAATATACAAATATTTTCATAATATTTATCAAATTATATGTTGATTTCTAAAAAATATTAGAAAATAAAGTGTAACTGATAAATTTTGGATGTTCATGAACATATATATTTTAATCATTTTGAAAATATATTATATGTTATTTAAAAATATATATTAAGGGGGTATATTACTATTTTGTGAACTTTCCTTTTTAATAAAGTCATATTATATACATATATTTTCGTTTTTAAATCTGTTTTAAAATTTTAGAAATATTTCTTTTTTATTATATATATTATTTGGAAAAAGTAAAAAAAAACTAAATAAAAATTAATAATAAACTTAAAATCTAACAATTCATTAAAGGTATCTATGTAATCAACAATTGCGAGAGTTAACGTGAGTGCGACACGTAGGAAACTGATTTCTCAGATAATATTATAGAGATTCTTCATCTAATTAATAAACTAGATTTATAATAACAACTAGATTAATAAGTCAAGAATCTCACTCTGCTCATTGATTCGATTTCCGTACCAATTATCTGCTCACAAGAGGTAAAAAATATATACTTTTAAACAAAATGTTAAGGAACATGGAATACTGTCTCGAACCTAAAACGCTCACTTTTGACCCGGAATATTAAGAGAAACAGCTATATGCATATAAGATCTCTGGTTATCTCCTCCAGGAGTCCATTGAAGACTTCCCTCTCTATGTCCCTTATAACATCATCTTTCTCGATGAAGGCGTTCATCGAATCACTCCAACCCATGTCCCACATGGAGTTTAAGTTTGGGTCTTTATAGTAAACATCTCTTTCCAACACTTTTGGTAAGTAGTCTTCAACAAGTGATTCGGTGCAGCACTCCCTACCGTAAGTTCTCAGCTTCTCGAACTCTTTGCTTAATTGTCTAACAAGATGGTCCAACGAGTTAACTTTAGAGGAACTGATGGGTACCTTCACGAAAGGATGGACACTTAACTCTTGAAATTTTCCTTTTCGTTTCATTATCTCGTAGCCACAATCGAGGAGTAGGTTCTTGTCTTCTTGGTAGTAGTTGTTCCCGCCAACTTCATGAAGAACGTTGAGGGGAATGTTGAGTTTAAAAAGTGCTTCTAATGTGTCTAGAAATAGTTGACTTTTCACAACTATCTTCTTGAGGTTCATTTCATTTTCAGACAATGTCTCTTCCGGTTCTTGTTTTCGGTGTTCTTGTCGCTTCTCCGAGAAAGGTATGCCAGCTTCGACCTCCCCTTTGCTTGCTGAAACAACTGAAACTTATTTTAGTTCCTTTTACAAATATTAAGAAAGAAATGTGGTGACTTGTTGTGCAAAATTCTTATGGTGGCTTGTCCATCGCATAATATCCGCCTAAAGGCATTATGTGCTTAATTATACAATCCGCATAAAATATTATATAACATGAAAATGGTACCGTATAGCGACTAAACGCTGCTTAGATGGATGCTTAGACCGCATTTTAGAACATTGACTAATACATATTGATATTAAAAATGACTAGAGCCGTCTCAAATTATTTATAGATTTTGTTCAAAAAAATATTAATGGAACATTTTAACGATTAAATGAATTTTTTTTTAAGTTACTAACTATATTTGGTGTTTTTTATATATTTTTTTAAAAATATTAATTTTCCCCCGTTTAACAGCTTTACTTGCAGATACTATTAGTAGCCCTGAAAAAGGCTAATAATGATACTAAAGGTGAAATGAGACTAACTACAAGACAAACTGAGAGTGCATACTTTGCTTCTTACCTTTACATACTGTCTTGGAAAATCTGTCTGAATTTCCATCAGAATTTGATATTGGAGCCTGTTGATCCACCACATCTGTAAACTTGAGCTCTTGATGCTGCTACGCATCCGAATCCAATTAGATGCAACACATACAGATGGTAAGTGAAGTTTTTTTTTTTTGTTGGTAAAAGTAAGTGAAGTTTACTAATAATAAGCTTACATTGTCTGATGAAGCTTGGCATAGGACTCTCTCTGCAGCTATTAGCAGAATTGAGTCATCTTTGATTTCTCTCTTTTGCTCTAACACGTTTCTGTTTGATGATTGGACCTCAACACCTGAATCTTCAGAAGTATTGACGCATGTCTCTTCTTCTACAGCTTTGGTCTTGTTACTGTCATTGTAACTTCTGAGTAACTGATCTTGTTTTTCATTTGCTTCTTTGGAAACATGTTTCTGATTCTCTGGTTGCTTCATTACTTTGCAAAACCCACCATTTATATTAGACGTGTCCTGATTTTTCTTTTGGATTGACTCAGCTTCATGCACCTCTCTTCCTTTTTTCTTTTCTAATACTTCAACATGAGAAAAGCTTTTCCTCGGAGCTTTAGCTTTGTCTATGACAGGTACTGAGCTCAAAGATTTTGGTGGATGATTAGTCATTATGCCATGTTCTTGATGCCTTTTTTGCTTCAACTTCACTTTCTTGATGCTCTTTGCTTCTTCATCTTTCTTCCCGAAACTGAGTTTATGTAAAGGCTTTTCTTGGCTCCTTGTGACAGCCTTAGGTTTATCTTCTGTTGGAGATGAGTTCCTTCTGATAGCATTTTTCATCCTCATTTCTCCATCCTTCTTGTTTCCTTTTCTGCTTTTTGCTTCATCCTTCTGCTGAGACTTGTCTTTGTAATTTATACCATTAGTACTTCTCAGTGTCTCCTTATGAAATACCAAATCCAATGATGTTGTTCTCCTTTGATCCTTTAATTCAACATTATTTTCATTATCTTGCGTTACTCCACACCTTGTGAAACTCTCTGCATACTTGATGGAAGCATCATTGGTCTCTTTTTCCTCTTCTGGAAACTCTCCTATTCCCATCAACTTCGCAACAACATTTGGAATCCTTCCTTTCTGAGGCTTATCTTCACAGCTACTTGTTTGCCTTCTGTGTCTGTTGTTAAGCGCCGATAGTCTCATTTCGATATCCGCCTTTGCGGATTCTTTTATCTTCCGATTATTTCGATTCCAAACATCTTCTTCCTCTTCTTCCTCATCATCATTTTCTTCAAGTATCTTGATTCTGTTTTGACTATGTTTCTTGGTGATATACTCAGAAGAAGCTTGTTGAATGTCTACAAGCAAACGAAGAGACTCTTCCAATTCAATGGCACCTTCCATGTGTCCTTCACCACATTGTATTGAGTATCTTCCTTTTCTAAAGCTGAGGCTGTTACTACATGCTTTAATGATCTGGTTCAGTTTTTGAGCTCCCTTTGATATTTCTTTGATACGGACATGAACCATTGGAAGTTGTTGTTGACTACTTGAACAAAGCTGCTGTTGTTGCTGACTGCTTCTTCTTTCTGGTGTTCCAAACCCCAAAGATCTTTTTCCTACTTCATGAAGGAAGCTAATAATTGATGCATTCCCTGATGGATCTTCTCTTGTAGCCTTTCCAGCGTTTTCAAGTGCAAATGCTAATGCTTTTGATAGATCAATGCTCCGGCCTTTTCCTCCGTATGGAAGTATCTGATTTGAAGACTCGCTAGTGAGAAACTTGGTTCCTTCATAGTTGAAATCTTGAAATGTTGTCTGAGAGGAAAACAAAACATTTAGTTGTCACAAAAAAACAATGGTAAGATCGACTCACTGTGGAATTTAGAAGTTGAAAAATTTCTTCACTGCTTACAGATTTTGCTCTGGTTTCTCTAGATCCCTTATATCTTCTTTTAGAATATGCATAGTTATCTGCAACCATGAAAACCAAAAAATATTATACAGAGGCTTCTTCTATATGATGATCTCGAATGTATTTTGCTATATTTTTCTCTAAAATATAGAATACCTATAATAGAGATGATTTACTCCAATATACTTTTTTTTATAATAGCAATCTTCAAAATATAGAGTAAAATATATAAATTGTTATTTCTTACCCTGTATATAGAGGGAAAAAATAACATTCACTATTTTATGAGAAAAAATAGTAATGGTTTAGAGTGAAATTAACTTTGAATCATGTTATAAAATTAAAAATAGCAATGAGTTAGAGATACTCTAAATCTATTTGCAACTCATAAGCTATGATCGTTTTGAATTTCTTGAAACCTCTTTTGGTATATATGCCTAAGAGGTATAGATTTTCTTAATTTCTTTAATAATTTTTATACTCTTTCTATTATATATGCCACACTTTATGGGGCGAATTTAAAACTAGACGACGTATTAAAAAACTAAACTGTGGTTTTTGAGTCATTTGTCTAATTTTACTGGAGATGAAAAGCGTATGAAATGTTTTTCCAGAGTTGGAAACTATCAAAGTATACTGAAATGAAAAATCTGTCGAACTATGTTTAGAATTCTTTTTGTCTTAAAAAGATTTGTAGGTTTCTATGAACGTAACCAGGGCTCTGCTATCATATCATATGACATTATGAATCTTGTAGTTTGGTAATGAACTTAAATGGTCGACCTAAAACTCACGCAGGTGTCCTATTGTGTCGCAACGTTTTTGCATGTAATAAAGCAAATTGTTCTACATTTAGATCTAACAAAGGAAACGTTTGTTCAATCTGACCTGTATCCTGAGAGATTGAAAGCCGCTCCTTCCTTACACGAAGATCATCTAACAACTTCTGTGCAAAATCTGACCGTTTCATCATTCCCTTCTCTCCGTTCAAACTCATTCTCAATTAGTGAATTTTTTTTTGACTCTCGAGTCCAAAAAAAAAAAAAAAAAGACACAAAGTGAAGCCTCTTATGATTTGTGTTTGGGGGTTATTTCTAAAGACTTCACATACTACCTTTTTCTTTGTTGTTTTGTTTGTTGGTTTCATTGTTTTCTTGACTCTGCTTAATCTTTGGTTGAAATGGTTCTTTCAGTGTTTGGTGGGAAAATTCTTAGTAGTGATAGCAAAAATCTAATTGATAACCATCGAAGATTCTTCAAAATTGTATATGTGTGTTTGATGATTGACGTGAACGTTAGGCCCTCCTGAGTAAAATTGTGCGCTTTCATAACTTCGATTGCAAGTTAAGCAATGACGATGGCCTTTCCTTTGCGACTTAACTTTCAAGCCTCTCTCACTTTGTTTTTATATGCTTTAGGGACCGGTTTAAATTTTAAAGGAAACTAATAGAATTGAGTAGATATAAACTATTGTTGTTGGAAGACTCGAACAACTACATATAAAATATCAATTTACTAAACTACTATAAGAATCTATCATGAAACTGAAATAAATAAAATATTATTCATGTCTTTCGTTTCATGACAATATTTACGGAACAAAAGTTGTTTAACAAGATATATGTTTAAATTTTCTATCATTTTTGTGAAAATTTTGTAAAAGTAACCTGAAATTTAAAGTCAAATACAAACCTATCCTCTTTTTTTTTATCTGTTATATTTTCCTATCCTTTCCATAAACAAAGTTTAATTTTCCAAATATTTATACGAAAATATCATTATTATTTACTTTTTTTTTCAAAAAATTGCCACAAACCATAAACATCCTAAACCTTTTTTCGTATTACAATATCGTAACTATCATCGACTTTAAAATTACCATGAACAGTCAACTTGAAAATTTTAAAATTAAACCATTATTGTTAAGAAATGAAGATGGTGGTTGGGACATATCCGGAAATGGACCAGACCACATCAGTACCATACCAGGCGGCCAAGCATCAGTCACTATCCTCCCTTGTATTTATCCATATGTTGTAGTTATCCTAATCATTATAGGATTAGGATAATCATCCCCTTTATTGTTGTAATCCTTATCTCCTAAGGAATATGCTTA